CAGACTCAATCCTGAGGATTCCCAAACCTCCCAAGTCCTGTTTCTAGCTAGGGATACTCAACTAAGAGGAAGAGCAGAATTAATCTGTGGGCTTTGTTTTTAACACAGTGCCCTTCTTTCCCACAGAGTATAGATTTGTCAAAGCCATAAAGGTGATATGCATGGCAGCCCTCAAAGGCTAGGGAGGGTTGTGGGCTCAGGATGCCCAGCCATCACCCTGAGCATGGCACAGAGATGTCTAGAGCAGGAAGGCCAAGGTTGAGAGGAGCAGAAGGGTCTGTACCAGATAGGGGTCACATGGTCTGACTGTCTCTCCCTCACAAGGATGTTTCTGTGCTGCCCAAGACATCAAGGCCATAGCGCTGGTGTTTAGTGGGAGCTCCCTTTCTCCTCCACCCTCCTACCTAGTCAATTCAGGCCTGCTGAGGAGTTGGACTCTCCCCCAAGGAACCTGAGATGATGGACAATTGAACTGAATAGCAAACAGCAATGGAGCCCTTGCCTCTCCCCTCTGCTGCCCAGTCATGCTTGAACTCCCACAATGCCTGGAGAAGACAGGAGTGCTTGTGGCTGTTACATTTCCTCCCGTCCCCTGCCTCCCTGTGCTCTCGCTCTCTGTGGGAGTGGGATGAGCTTGGAGTACGTGTGCTGCCCCTGCTCTTGTCTTCCAGCTGTCTGTTCCCCCAGTACTAACCACAGTGGCCACACTGCTAGCATCAGCCCTAATGGCCTGTGGATATGGGGAAGAGGTCTGAGCATCTGTGGGTTTTTGCTTTGGAAGTTTCTGGGAGGAGGGAGGGATGAGTACTCATTGAATATCTCTGCTAGACTTATAGACCAGGTCCCCTATTCCTACCCCCAACCTAGAGGATTGGGGCTGGGGAGTGGTGGCAACAGCAAGGTGAGGTGTCAGCTCTCTGGTGTCAATTCTGCCAATCCTGGTGGCTGCAGGGGTTGGGCAGGGCTCTGTCTCTGCAGGCTATGATGGAGGTGACTGTGGGCAGGTGGCCCTGGCAACATCTACATGTTGGGTTGCCTCATTCAGGCCCTGCTAACCAGCTTGAGCAGCAGGTAGTTCTCTGACTGGAGGCCAGAGAAAGGGCCTGAGTTTCTTCTTCTAGGAACACTGGGAATACTGGTCTGGGGAAACCCTATTATTTGTCTGGATATCCAAGGGAAGGCCTCCTGAGTCTTCTGTGTTCCTCTTCCCTCCCCAGGTGGAAGAACTGAGTAAGAAGCTGGCTGACTGTGACCAAGCCAGCAAGGTGCAGCAGCAGAAGCTGAAGGTGGGACACTTAGGGAATTGGCATGGCCTTTGGCACCTGAGAGAGGACAGGGCGGAGGGAGTGATATGGGGCAGTTCTCTAAGCCCTTGGGCTGTGGTGGGTATGGTGACAGAGGACCTCGGTGCCTAGCAGCCTTGGGAGAGACCTCTGGCTCAGGAGCCCCTGCATGTGCCTTCTGGGAGCTCTCAAGGGAAGACCCGCGTGGTTCCCATCCCTCTAGATCTTCACTGTCCACTATAGCAGCCACTAGTCACATGTGGTTATTTAAATTTAATTAAAATTAAATAAAAAATTCAGTTCTTCATTCACACTAGCCATATTTCACCTGCTCAATAGCTGTGTGTGGCTAATGGCTACTATATTGGACAGCGCAGATACAGAACATCCCATCTTCACAGAAGGTTCTCCTGGACAGCACTGGTCTAGTCTGGGCTCAAGGGGTAAGAGTGTCAATGACACTGAATATTACAGTATAACTTAATAATATTAATGCTTTCAACTATGTTACCTTCTTTGGCTTAATATTTGCTTTTTGCTATTCTAGGCTTCACAGCCTTTAGTCAGAGGCAAAGGAATTGGGCAAAAGTGGCACTGGGACTGGCTAAAGCCCTGGTGGGTTTCAAGAGTTGGGAGCTCAGAGCTTCATTTCTCCTGCTCACCTTCCACCTGCTCCACACCATGTCATGATTATGTGATAAACAGATGTTCATTACGCTCCTTTTGGGGGCCTGCCCTGTGCTAGGAGATATAGGAGAGGCAAGGACAGGATGCTCCTATCCAGTATCTACAGCAAACCAAGCACTTGCTGGTATTGCAGGTGGTTGGAGAATTAGACCCAAGCCCTGCTCTTAAGGAGTTATGATCTGGATAGGAGGCATTGCTGGCATCACAAATGAGCCCCAACCAGCTTTGGAGTTAGGTGGACCAAGTTCAAATCTTACTCTTCCATTTTAGTCACTGTGACCTGGTCAATTTGCTTAAATCTCTGAACTCAGTTTCCTCATCTCTGAAATGAGGTTAATGGTACTTCTTGATGGTTTTGAGGAGAAATGAGTTCACGTGTTCTCAGCTTACGTGCAAGTGCCTAGCTCTATGCTCTTTACCCAGGTGTTCCCTGATCATCAGTTTGCCTTAACTCCTGTGTGCACATGGAAAGAGGCTGACATTTTGTGAAGGCAAAGATAGGGCAGTCAGAACTCTGTCAGAGAGCAAGCAGATGGCATGAGCTGGTCAGGGAAAGCGCCGACAGAATGTGGACTTGAAGGATGTGCAGTATTTCAGTAGGTTGTAGTTGGGGGGAGTGTATGTATTTGGAGTGGGGGGGGTAAAAGGATTTTTTTCAGCCTCCTGAGAGAATATGCAGGAGTCTGAAACACTTATGGAGCTCAAACAGCTAGGGCAGGTCAGTGGATTTGGGTGAAGCAGCCAGACTGGCCTCCCTGATTAGCCTTTCTTCTCAGGCTTTCCAGGCCCAGGGAGGTGAGAGCCAGCAGGAGGCCCAACGCCTCCAGGCCCAATTGAATGAGCTGCAGGCCCAATTGAGCCAGAGGGAGCAGGCAGCTGAGCACTACAAACTGCAGGTGAGAAGCCCAGCCCTGGCCTACTCTGCACTTCCTGCCCTCCAGCCTCTGCCTCACTGCCACCCCCCATCCCCCACCCCATCCGCTCCCACC